TTAAGAGCTAAAATTTTTATTATTGAAATATATATACAATATCCATTTAAACCTCTCATTCTAAATTTTGTCATAACATGTTTAGAGGCTGAATCAAAATTTCTTATTTATTAAAAAGTCCATCCATATTGAGACTTAAAGTCTACATCATTTTTAAGAGCAGGATCCTATTCTAATCTTTAATTAAGTTATTTTAAATAACCCACTAGAGCATATTTTCTTATAAATGATGAATTTTTAATACCTTTACAAAATTCTAATCATAAAAGAAGCAGCAAAGTAATCAAATTCTTATACAATACTTGAAATCAAAGTATTTTTATTTTCATTTGAAAGATTTAAACTCATTTATTATTACATATCAAATCGATCATCACTCATCTATTTATTTAGAAACTTCTCCTCCCTATTATTATATTATATATTATATTTTTACAATTAAATATTCTAATCAAATATCTTATGCACTCCCAATTCAGGTTATAAGAATTTTATTGTAATACTTGGTAAATTAGTAGATAATATTTATCCTGGATGTACATGTTTACATTCTGGATGAATAGCATATACAACTTATCCAATATTAAATGGAGCAAGTCTAACTATATCTCTTATTAAATCTAAATTTTTAATATCCCTATGAACTGGATAATTTTGATCAAATAAGTAATTTCGTATTACTGATCTATACTTTGCCAATTTACTCATCTCCTATTATAAAAAATAAAATGAAAATCTTCTTGGTTATCCAATTGCCTATATTGTTTTATATAAATTTAATACCATTTTTATCTATCTCCATTCTGAAATTGATTTCTTACCCAATTAAACATTAGCCTTGCTTAACATCTATTGAAATTCATTTAAACTAAAATATGTATAATCTAAATGAGAATAGAAATATTCATGTTGAATCCATTTACAGAACTTGATATAATTAAAATTAATACGTTCTAACTAATTTCTTAGCCTTTACTCATACATCTATTAGTATTACATTAAGTTGCTGTAAAATAATAAGTCAAATCAATTTCATTTTCAATCACTTCAAATTTTTAAGGAATCGACTTACGACCTTATTTTTAGATTTAAATATTATACAATTCTAATTTTTCTTGATTTTCTTTATTAAGGCTTTGTCATAATTGATTGTCTCATTTTATTCATAATGATCTTATAAAATCAAATACAAATCATGAGCTGTACAATTTTGATTTGATTCTAAAAAGTTTTTATTCTATTTTTCATAGATATCTATACTTTTTTATAAATTGACAATAAATTTATGATTGTTCTTTGATATCCAAGTTGTTTTAATATTTCCTACATTCTTCCAACTCCTGCTAATTGTTACTATCTAAAGACTGTATTTTATTAATGAATAGATATCTACTTTTTAGAAATACCTCCAACTCAGTTTCGTTCCATTACTCACCTAAATCGATTCTTAATTTTGAAATATCTATTTAATCAGGGAATTCGTTCATATTAAAATTAATACATATCATAAAATCAATTAAAATAAAAATTCTTTTCTTTATAATTTTAAACAATCTATAACAAAATTCATTTAATAACATTCTTTCCAAATAACATATATGTTCTAAAATTATCTGGCATTTCTAAAATAAAAGATTAACAATTGTTAGATTTCAATAAAGTATCACATTCTTTATTGATATGTTTAAATTTATTAGCATAAAATAATATCTTTCCTATCCAAGTCTTTATTTCTAATCTATGAACACATAAAAGTAATTAATAAATTATTTGAATAAAATTTGAACTATTAAACATTGTCTCTTGGATTCTAGTTAAGAATTCAAAACTATCTGACTCTTACAACAACTAATAAATTATACAAATAATATACTTCATTAAATAAAACTTCATCTTCAACTTATTTCAAATAAATTTCAACTGAAGAACAATCTCTTTATAAACAAAGAAATGGCCATAATTATTATTATTGTTCTTTTAATTTAATAGTACCATCCTAATTTACAATAAATAAGTCTTTAATATATTGTGGTAAAATTTCAACCATTATAAATAAAGACATTTATTATTGCAATTATGAAAAGGTGATTTTGGGATCCAATTGCCAAATAGATATTGCTACTTTTGTTAATAATTATTTATAAAGATCTTGAGGACATTTTCTATTATGAATGAGAACATTAGCAAAATAATATGGATTTTCCATCAAATCAATTATTAGAATCAACTAGGGAATAATAAATGATATATATATACATCTCTTTGTAAAAAGTCTTTATATTAATCAAATTATTAAAGATCTCTTAAAAATCCTTATCCAATTTAAGCAAAAAAAGAGTCAACTTTTCCATAGATCATCCCTAATTACATAGAAATCATATATTAATCAAATGAAAGAGTAGTTGGATTCAAAAGATTTGTGTAAAATCCACTAAAGGAATGATAAGTTTCTTAAGATAGTTATCTACATTTTGCAGAGACATATTTAAGATAATTCAAATTCATTGATGGAATTTCAAATTGAATTTTTAGAATATTTAAGAATATATTTGATCTTTCATCATCATCTACAAAACCTAGATTATTTATAATTAAATCCATATTTTTGTTACTGAAATCATTCTTTAATAATGAAATTACAATCAAACTAATTAATTTAGTGATGAAAGAATTAATATCAACATTTTTCTTTTTTTATTATCTATCTTAAATTCTTTTATTTTAAGAAACTCTTAAACAATATATATACGTAAATAAGATTTCCCTTTCAATTTCTTTTACTTTAAGTAATTATTGGATGAATTCTACAGATATATTTCCCAGTAATTACTAAGTGAATATAGTTCCCATATTCAAAGCAAACCAATCTAAAATACTAATTTCATTTTCTAATTTCATATATTTGTAATACATTTATTAGAATCATACGTATCTCTACTCTCTAAGTTCAATAAAGCCCCGAAAAATTTACTTAATATTTATTTAATTTTTTCTTCATCTTTTACAATTTACTTTAATGCACTTTCATTATAAAACAAAGGATATATAATTGAATAAACATCAATCAAACTAGCTAGTAATCTATTCAAAAATGGGTTTTCATGATTACTTATTACTTTTTCAAGATATTAAATAACAATTCCAAATTATTCAGATTATAATAAACCTTCTTATACACTCTTATTAGATGTTGCTTCTATTAATAGACTATGTATAGGTGAAAAAGTATCAATAAAATGAAGTGAATCTTCACTTAATTATCCTCCTAAATAGAATGTATTTTTGAATAATATAGTTCCTAATTATAGTAAATGTTCTTAAGTTTAAAACAATTGATTAAATTTAATGAATTCAAGAAACTTTTATTATACAGGAGACTAAAATATTGATATGTATCTGCATAGTAAATCAAATATACAACAATCACAACTCTTTAGTCTTTAGCATGTTTTAACAGTATTTACATAATAATTATCAGTGCAATCATGATAAAAATCGAAACTAAATTAATTTGATCCTATTTTTTCTAACATTATAATTGCTACTAAATTTTTTAAATTTGGATATTAAGCAAATATATTATTAAAATAATCTAAAATGCACATAAAATAATAATTAACAGCAACTATTCTTTAAGGACTTCTTAAATCCTATAATAGTTATTCTAATTCATTTATTAATTAAAGAAAAGAACATTAAACATATTGTAAAAAATTAATTATTGATTCTCCAAATTATGTATTGTATTGGATTATAGTAACTCTCTATGATGCTAATTTTTCAATTATTTATTCTTAAACTTATCTTAATGAATTTCTATTATATATTTATATTACTTACTTTTAGATGTATTAAACAACTAATCTTATTTCTAATAATTAATTTATTTATTAATTTATGGTTGATAATTATCGAATAAAATCAATTTTAGATATTTCCTCATCTATTTTTTTTAAATCAAAAAAATCCCCTGCTTCTTTTTATATCATTTCAACAAATTCATCATTATTTGTAACTAATTTTATCATCTTAAATATTGAAATAGAATTACTTCTTCAGCAGATTTCCCTTAGAAGTAAGAATCAAGTTTCCTTTATAATTCTTTAAATTTTTAAGCCATCTTTTAACTTATAGGCCTGTTTCTCTCTCTTTGAATATAGAAAAAACTCGTCAATCCTACAAGTGCTGTCAATCCTAATAACTTATATTTAGTCTTTTTATCCATAATAAAATAATATAAATAATAAAATTTATATGTAAATAGTACCAAGTAATATTGTTAATAATAAATAAAATAAGTGTTTGTGCCATGATTTAAACAAAATTGAAGTTCATTTCTACATTTTTTGTTAAAAAACAATTGAAATATATTTTACATAATTAATAAATATATTTTTTTAATTATGTAAAATAAATTGTCTCATTTTAATCACTAAATACATCTTTACATATATACCTTTATAATAAATCTATTTTTGATCAAAAAATCAACAGTATTAATTAATTAAATAAAATTATTTTATTCCTTTTGAATCCACAAATGTATATATAATTGATAAAATAATAATTAATTGAATGGAAATCATTCTAATAAGATGGAAAAATATCTTAATAAGAATTTAATCATAGAGTTGGTAATTTCAAATATAATTAATCAAATATTGTTTTAAGACATCATAAGTCCTGGCTATATATAAAATAAATTTAAAGGATATAAGAAAATTTTATGGATTAAATAATAGAAAAAGAAACTTAGTTTGAAAATTCTTATCATTATATCTTTTTCCTATTTTATAAATAAATTATAAGTTTTAAATAATCATGAATCAAAAAATAATAGTGTTAATTAAATTAAAGAAAAATTAAATAAAATAATTTTTGAATTTGATCTAATAATAAAATCACTAATTGGTATTTAAAAATTCATTTAAATCCAACAAGATTATAAATATTATTAATACTTATTCATATTTTTCTTAATATAATGTAATTCAATCGTACTCATCCAAGAATTTTTTATAACTTATCAACAGATCGTTATAATTTAGCTACATCTTTTCTCATTAATCCAATTTAGAAAATAATTTTGTACTATGGTTCCTGTCTTAACATCACAACTGTTCGGATATATTTAAATATATAGTATGCAAATAATGATGATGAATAAATAAATCTTTCTTCCATAGTAGTAATTTGTTGAAGAAGCTTTAATTTATCATCAGTAATTGATAGTATATCAAAATTTAGAAGCTAATTGAGAAATTGACAATCATTTAGAACTCTCAAATATTGATGCCAATTATCTTATTATTCAACATTATTCTATGTTAATAAAATTTTTAATAAGTTTAAAACTGTTTCAATTATTGGTGGAGGAACTCTAATACAGGACAATTCACAAATATCTTGCCTTCTTATTTTCTTTAAATCATCTAAAGATAGTTGATATTAAAGTAATAAAGATTCTGTTTATTCTCCTAATTCTGGATGGTTTTCTATAATTTCATTTAATTCAAGTTATTTAATATTTTATTATTGCTGTATTTTATTTAATTTTAAAGATAGTAGATATAATATTTAATTATTTGTATTCTAGCTAACTAATCTAAATTACAAAAAAGAAGAGTAGTCTAAAAAAGCAAAGATAAAATTAATTATCTCTGGCCTTACTCTGATAATTAAATTTGGATTTGGTAAGATTGGATGATTAATTCTAAATTATCTTAAATAAATTTCTTCAACTGAAAAAAACAAGTTGTTAATAGAAGATTGTGTTTTTTCTTATTTTTTGTTTAACTAATCTAACTCTTTTTGAAGTTTTCTTAACATACTTTTTAAGTATTTATTTTTATTTAAAGATTAAAAATATAAATTATATATTTTAGGTATATTAAATATTAAAAGTGATGACAGGTTTCATTAGAAAAGTATTTACCAAAGAATAATATATTGATAATATCTTAACATTATATTAGATTATGCTGATTCATTTAAATTAATAAATTTAATGATATATTAATAATTATTCGAAAGAAATTGAATTTGTAAAATTATTTTAATTTTTATATTAACTTATCTGATTAAATAAAGTTCCATTTTAATTAGAAATATTATCAATGTTATTTATTCAAAAATTCTATTGGTTATGATGATAATAATGCATGTAAAATAAATGTAAAAATTATCAATGATTTAAAATGTAAATTTTAATATCTATGATCATTAGAAGAAATTTTACACAAATTCTATACATTTATTTGGAATATTGTAAATTGGATTCTAAAAATTGCTATCTGCTAAAGAATATCCACTTAATCCATAGCATGTATGATAAGCATCTGGGGATTTACTTGGTTTATCAAATATTCCTCCTGATATATTTTGACATATATGTATATATTTCTTTAATTCTAACACATCCATTAATTATTCATTGACATAACCAGATAACATTAACAATTTAAAAATAGCTCCTTACCAAAATGAATAACAAGCATCAACTACTTTATTGGTTCGACCATTAAAACCTCCCTCATTTTCTATTTATCTATTTACTAACCAATTCAATAGTTTTTCTTAATCAATATAATGTGCTTTCCCCATACAAACCAAAGCAGCATATCCACAAAAAGTATATCCTCCATGAGATTCAGAATATCGAACTCCTCCTATACCTCCTTCATATGTTTGACATGAAGCAATATACTCAGCACAACCATCCAATAATTTAGGACTAACTCTATAACAGAAATTATATACTCTAATTTAAGTATGATCACCATTATCACAACAATATATACAGCCCTCATATCTGCTTCACCATTAACATGCATTAAATAAGATCCTTTATTATTTGGATCTTAAACTGACCAAAAAAACTTTTCCAATCCCTATCTGTCAATCAATCCTAAAGAATTTGGAGTGGCTAGAATAAATAATGCTAAAAATATTATTATTTTTATACAAAGTAAAGATGAATATGTAGGTGCTAAATGTTCAAATTAATAAGGTCCTCCTCCAAAGCTTCCAATTTTGCATTATTCTAAATATTAAATAATTTGATGTTCATATTTAGATACATCATCCTATAAAATACTCAAAGCATTGAGTGGCCAATATATACACCATGGTTATCCAACATCTAAATAGAAAATGGAATAGCCAATATTCAATAATTTCTTTGTACAATATTTGATATGTTGATCTGTCAATAATTCAAGTTTATTAAGTGGTTCATATTCTTTATAATATTTATTATCCAATAAATCTTAAGGGACTTCTTCAGATTCTACATATTAATATTCTTTTCTAATTTAGGAAATTGCAGAATGTACAAGATTTTATTCATTTAAAGTGCGATTCAGCTACTTCATTTAATATAGAAATTTCTTAATTATTAAAATACACGTAATTTAATATGCTTTTCCTCACATTCTTGATTAGTGTTTCTATGGCTTCTCAAGATTTACTTAAGAAATGCTATTTAGAACAATTCACAATTGGAGATCCTGAAGGTATTATATATTTTAGAATTGTTTAGTTAAAATTTAGATCTACTTTGAGGATCATATAGTAAAAAATCATAAAATTGAATATGAATGTTTGGAATTTATTATTTCAAGAGGATATTATAAAGTTGCTTTGAGTCTTTATGAGAATTATTTCCTTTTGAATCACATTGATATTACTGATAGAATTGTGTATTGTTCTTTAATTTATTTAGTTAATTCTTAAAGAATGATAAATATCTTAATTAGAGAGAAATGTAAACACTATTCAAATTAGCAATGGCTAAAAGCAATCAAGTTTAAGTTGTATAACCAGTAGTTTAATGGGCTTAATCAAAAAACGCTACATTTATAAATATCAAATTCTCTCACAGATAAGATGCTCCTGCATGTTTGAATGCAAAGTTAGAAGTAGTTGAAATAAAGAATGATTCTCTTTTGATTGAAGCATTTGGAATAGTTTCTCATATTCCATTCAAATATAGATATGCCATTAAATTATATAAACCAATAGATCCAACTTCTAGTTATGAGAAAGTAGAATCTGTAGGAACTATGTATGTGAATCTAACAAAGATAGAACCAGGTAATTTTATATTAATATATTAATAAGTATTATGGTTAAGATTAACTGAAGAAGATTATAAAACTCCAATATGGTGGGATTTGAAAGACAATTTTAGAAAAGATATGGAAGAATTTGCTTAAATGCTTGAAAAGGAAAGTGAGAGAAAAGAGAGAAATGCAGATAAATAAGCAAAGAAAAACTAAAAAAAGAGAGATTAANTTCTAAATATTAAATAATTTGATGTTCATATTTAGATACATCATCCTATAAAATACTCAAAGCATTGAGTGGCCAATATATACACCATGGTTATCCAACATCTAAATAGAAAATGGAATAGCCAATATTCAATAATTTCTTTGTACAATATTTGATATGTTGATCTGTCAATAATTCAAGTTTATTAAGTGGTTCATATTCTTTATAATATTTATTATCCAATAAATCTTAAGGGACTTCTTCAGATTCTACATATTAATATTCTTTTCTAATTTAGGAAATTGCAGAATGTACAAGATTTTATTCATTTAAAGTGCGATTCAGCTACTTCATTTAATATAGAAATTTCTTAATTATTAAAATACACGTAATTTAATATGCTTTTCCTCACATTCTTGATTAGTGTTTCTATGGCTTCTCAAGATTTACTTAAGAAATGCTATTTAGAACAATTCACAATTGGAGATCCTGAAGGTATTATATATTTTAGAATTGTTTAGTTAAAATTTAGATCTACTTTGAGGATCATATAGTAAAAAATCATAAAATTGAATATGAATGTTTGGAATTTATTATTTCAAGAGGATATTATAAAGTTGCTTTGAGTCTTTATGAGAATTATTTCCTTTTGAATCACATTGATATTACTGATAGAATTGTGTATTGTTCTTTAATTTATTTAGTTAATTCTTAAAGAATGATAAATATCTTAATTAGAGAGAAATGTAAACACTATTCAAATTAGCAATGGCTAAAAGCAATCAAGTTTAAGTTGTATAACCAGTAGTTTAATGGGCTTAATCAAAAAACGCTACATTTATAAATATCAAATTCTCTCACAGATAAGATGCTCCTGCATGTTTGAATGCAAAGTTAGAAGTAGTTGAAATAAAGAATGATTCTCTTTTGATTGAAGCATTTGGAATAGTTTCTCATATTCCATTCAAATATAGATATGCCATTAAATTATATAAACCAATAGATCCAACTTCTAGTTATGAGAAAGTAGAATCTGTAGGAACTATGTATGTGAATCTAACAAAGATAGAACCAGGTAATTTTATATTAATATATTAATAAGTATTATGGTTAAGATTAACTGAAGAAGATTATAAAACTCCAATATGGTGGGATTTGAAAGACAATTTTAGAAAAGATATGGAAGAATTTGCTTAAATGCTTGAAAAGGAAAGTGAGAGAAAAGAGAGAAATGCAGATAAATAAGCAAAGAAAAACTAAAAAAAGAGAGATTAAGAAAAATAAAAATAAACTTCTCAAAAAGCTTAAGAAGCAAAAAGATAATTAGAATATGAACATAATTAATGCTATAAACCAGGAAAATGTGAAATTGGATGGTATTAAAGATAATGATTGTTTATAATTGATTAATATTCAATTCCCTGATCATTATTTGACATTTCCTACTGCTCCTTTTGGAACACTTAATTATTTTTTAATTTTATCTTCCTTATCCAATTAATCATCATATTTCACTAAACTCTTCAAATAAGTAAATATAGCTCCAAAAATTATCAAATTAAATAAAGTCAAATATATATTTCTTTAAGAATAAAACATCTTCATTCTTGTTTAATTTACAGTCTTTTCCATTTCAAATTAAGAGACTCCTTCAGTATATGAATCTCTTTAAGCTTTTTATCCAATAAGCTCTTTACCCAAATCATAATTTTCTGTGACTGAACTCACAAATAAAAATAATGACCAACTTAATATTAAATATAAAATTTTGGAGATGATTGCATTTGTTAATAATTTCTCCAATCCTCTTACTAAAGGTTTTCGTATTATTCTTGGTAAAGGAAAGAATACAATAAAAGCTAAACCAACTCCTACATGCATGGTTTAAAACATCAATTCGAATTGAAATGTCATATATATTTAATATAAAATAATTATTTATTTTATCTCAAAATATTTTACAATTTCTCTCCTTTAATTCTTACTTTTCTTATAGATTTCTGATTTCTTAATGTAATTATCCTTTAATTAATGATTTTTACTCTTATTAAATACATTATATAATTGATTGGTCTATTGCTTGAAAAATACTGGTTTCGAAATTACACTCTGTCATTTCATCTAAATTTCTAAAATCTTTATTTTCATTAATAAGGATAAATTTAAGTTTAGATTAACAAGTATATATTGTATCTAACTATGGTATTTAATCAAGTTTATCAAATAATTGAAATGCAATATCAAAATTAATGTTTTAATTTAGAGAATTTTTCCAAATTTAACATTTTACATCTTGTAATAGATTAGGAACATATATAAAAAAGTCATTTGAATTATCAGAGAGTATCTTATTTAGTTTATCATTTAATTCATAAAGGATATTGATTCTAATTAGATAAGAGTAATCCATAGAGTTTGTAATCATTAAAAATAACAAATTTATAAATAGTTAAAAAATATTTAAGATGTATTTGTTCAAATTAATGACAAGATGTTTCCTAAAATCTTTTTATCTAAGGTCCATTCTCTTCTATTTCTAGGTTATCCCTTTTTAACTCTTCTATTTAAATATTAATTCAATAATGATGTATCTTCTTTTTATTTAGGTATAGCTGGTAATACACAACTACTATCAATAGCATGTTAAATTCCATAATCAAAACTTTAACTTATAGGGGCTTAAGAATTAGAAATACTTATATTAGTACTTTTATTGGTTGTAGTCTAAATAGAATTAAAATGTTTTTTATTTTTTACTGGTGTCTTAGGGTTTTCTAAATTATTTTGACTTTAAACTTTTAGTTTGATTTTTGGAAGTTCTAATGTTTTTTTAAATTCAAATTTTTATAAATTGAATGATTATTATTATAATTATTAAGATTCTTCTTTTAAAGATTATTTCTTTTTAGGAATTGCTAAATCAATGATTTGTATTTAATTATATTCATGTGTATCTAATTCTGTTATTTCATGTTCTGGAATAGGTAAATGACATAAACCTCCATTTAAACTAGTAATAAGATCATCTTTTATATAATAGATATAATCTATTTATACATGAAAATTGATAGTATATATGCAAAATCCATTATTTGTCCATATTTTGACTTATTATAAAGAATTTGTAACAACAAAAGTTTAATTACTAGTGATTTATTGTATATCATTTTCATGTCCTGTATTAGTTTCATATGCAATTAGATTTGAATTAAATAAATATAATTCATTTGATTGTGCAATTGCCAATTAATTGGCTTAAGTCAAATGTATAGGACCTAATTTAACAATTTTAATTGATTTAATTAAAGATGCTTTATTAGATTAAATTTAAACAAAATTGATGACATTATCAATACTTTTGATAATTAATTGATCATTAAAGTGAATAATACTTGATATAGCATTTTTATTATAATTTACACGTGTATAAATTATTGTATAGAGTTCTAAAGGAACACATATTACAGCTCCTTTAGAACAACCCATAACAAAATATAAAGATTAATCTGCATTTTCAAGCATCTTAGATATTTTGTTTTAATCTTTTGAATCAATAGTTATTTCAACATCATATAAAGGAGGAGAAAGAGCAATAATTTGAATAAATGTTATGTCTTAATTGATTTTTTCTCCATTTATAGTTCTGATTTTATCAAAATTAAGTACTTCAACTTATTAATGATTGACCCATTTAGCTAAAGTTTGATTTTATAAATGTAAATAATAAGTGTTTGGTTAATTAGGACTATCTATAATTTAGAGTACTTAATAAACTGAATTAGGAGCAAATATGACTTTACGGGTTTGATTAGAGTAATAAACATGATTCTTAAAGGCTATACATTATTCAGACATTGCAGAAACAGATGAATTATGTAAATAATAGGCTTACAATATATGATATAAATCACATATATATAATTAATCTGCAGATTATATGAAGTATTTAGAGTAATTTATGAATTTGAAATATTAGATCTACTATTAATAAATAGGATAAGATTGACAAAAGATTAAATTATTCAATTTCCAAACTTTAATAAAGAGATCACTTGCTACTGTGAATAATTCTTCTTTATAAACTATCATATTGACTATTTAACCATCATGAGCATGTTCATGGAAATATTAAAGAATTCCATTTAGATCATAACACCAAAGAGTTCCATATACATCTCCCAAATATAATAGATCATTTATATAATATACATCTGAGATTGTCAAACCTAATTAAACAGATCCTTAATGTTTGAGTGTTCTTAAATCATAGATTGTAATATTTTAAGAATTGTATAGAATGTAGAAATAATCTAATAATTTACATTATCTATTCCATTCTAGAGATCCATTAAGTTCTTAATATTTAATTATACTAAATTTATCTTTCATTTGAATTTCAAATGCACTAACAGAATTGAATTAAATCATTAAAAAAGTATTTAAATGATCTAAAAATAATAGATTAGTAAATTATTTGCATTCTAATTGAACTTTATTAACAATCTAAAATTCGAAATTCAAAAAGTATATAAACCAATCTTAGCACAATAAAAAATATAATCGTTATTTTTTTGACATTGTAATATCAAATATTCTAAATGATTTTTTTTTACACCACAATATTTATTTGACTATTCTCTATTCTAAATAATGATATTTAATAAGCATTTTTTTTTTGTGATATATTAAACAACAATGATCCCAAGTGTTCATACAAAATATCTATACTGCATATGTATCCATTAATTTATTTGAAACACAACCTAATGTCATAACTTAATTCATTAAATAATATAAACATTTTACATATTTTTTATAAAACAAAAGATTTCTTTATATATATAATTATAATATATACTCTATAATAATAATTATTATTAACCTATAAATACTCATTATTCATCCCAATAACTTGGAGGTATTGTATCTACAATAAAATTTAAATTTTTCAGATTTTTATAATTTTGAATAAGATCATCTCTTGTTGAATTAGTTAAAGCTGTTCCTAAAAGTTCTAATTCTATATAATCTACAACTTTTGTTATATCAGAAATATAACGAAGTATTTCTTTTGATGCTATATCTGAGATTTTGTTTTAACTTAATCTTAAATCTATATATTTTGGTTAATGTTTAATAGAATGAATTGATTTAACAACATCTACAGCTCCCCTATCAGAAATTGAATTAAAATTCAAATTCAATTTTAAATATTCTAATTTCTTTTAAGACATTAAACCTTCTCCAACAAAAGAAGCACCTGCATCTCCTATATAATTTTCAGTATAATCCAAAACTAATGTCTTTAATTTATCCTACTTAAATAATACTTATTTTAATAGGTCAGCACCTCTAGGACCACATTTATTCACTCCAATAATTAATTATAATGAATTTAAAGTAGGCAATTTTTCAATTGCTTATAATATAGCATTATAGCCTAAAAATCCAAAATTCTTAGAAGCTACATTAATTGATAAATCATCAAGATGTTATAGATTTCCTAAAGCTTTGGCAATATATTGAGCCCCTTTATCTTCAATGTAATTAAATTCTAAACCAATATGTAATTTAGTAAGATTAGTCATTTATCCAGTAACACCCATTAATGTTTCTGTTCCATTTGAAGTAATATTATTGAAATACAATTCTATTTCTAAACTTTTTACTTATCTTTAATGATATAGACCTGCACTTAAATCATCAATACCATCAACCATAATCCTATTACCATAAAGATTTAAAACTAAATTTTCTAATTTTGGTAATTTATATAATAATGTCTACAAAGATTTAGTTGATGATGCAGTTATATTGCAGCCCATAAGTATTAATTCTAATGATTTTAGTTATCTCATTTCAATTAATGGAAGTAACATATCAATCTTATTTCCACCTAAATCTGTATTAATAAGTGAGATTTGGAGTGTATGAACTTTCTTCATTTCAGAAATACTCTTTAAAATTTATGATCTTCCTTGATGTGTAAATAGGTTATCCATTCCTAAAGAAAGAGATTCTAAATTTTATAATTATATTAAAAGAGCTTAAATATTTGAAGCAGTTGAATTTTCAATAGGATTATTTCCAATATGCAAATTCACTAAGATCATAATAAATAAAGAAATATACATTCTTTTAATTTTTTGAATCGACTTATAGTTAACAAAAGAGTCTAAATATTTGTCAATCCATTTAAATTGAAATTAGCTTCCAATCTTGTCGCATTAACATAATCTTAGAATTATTTACAAGCCACTTCTAATCCATTATTCCCAATAGATTTTCCTTACAAATTGATTGTAATTGCATTTCCTTCTATTTTCATATCATATTAAACTTTGGAGTCCATATACAATTTGACATTGTATGCTAATAGGATTCCAAAAAATGACCAAATGATGTGTGATAATTACATAATTTATAAAATTAATGATATCAGCGATTAGCGAAGGACTTTTAATTTCTGTTTATAGCTTAATATATCAAATGAAATATGAAATAAGCTCTAATATCTTTACAAAAACATAATCAATGTGTATTTGGCAAGGAAGTATAAATGAATTTACTAGATACAGGATGTTTTGAAAAAAAAGAGATAAGGGTAGAATGGTTTAAATGAAATTAAGAATTACTATAGAAAGTGTCTTATTTGTTAGAGTCTTTTGATTAAACTAATATATTCAATTTTATTTTAATCAAAGTCTTATATTTCATTTCATCAATAAATACAAATATAAATTCTAATAATTGAAATCAATATAATTTATTTGATTTCTTTTATATTTAAAACAAATTCTACATTTCTTATGAATTGCACTTCAAAAAAATTAAAATAAGTATGATAAATTCATTCAAACAATATTTCGAAGTATATTCAATTTAATAAATACTTTTATCTTAATTAATCCCCCTCCCATTATAAAGTTATTAAAAAAGTATAATCTAATAAAATACAATCAATTTTTATTTGAAACCCATTAATTTATATAATTACATTCAATCCAATAAAATGAATTGAACAATATCTTATTATATTTAATAATAATAATTTATAAATTATATTATTCTAACATTTTATCAAAATAAGTATATATATTAATCAATAATTCATTAGTTGGTATGCTATATTTAAATCATTATTTTAAGATGGAAAATTATTGTTCAATTATTATTAATAAGGAAATTATTATTATCCACCTTATTAGAGTTAATTATATTATGAATTTTAATAGTTATTACTTTAAAAAGGTTGAAATTATTATTATGGTTATTATTATGGCTATAATGGTTATTATGGTAATAATGGTTGTTATGGTTATTATGGTTATTAAGGTTGTTATGGTTGATATTATGTACCAAAAAAAGGGGCATAACTTGAATTCTGTAATGGAAACTATGGAAAACTCATATTTGGTTTAATTGGCTTTATATAAATTATAAATATACTCTTTGAACTGTAATTGCAAGAATCTCTTTAAATTCTTCAAATTTAATGAAATTATCATCATTCAAATCAAAAACTTTAAATGCTATTCTTAATTCTTCATTAGTAAATTGCTAGTTAATTTACTTAGCCATCAAAAAAAATTCTTAAAAACTAATAAATCCATCTCTATTTTAATCAAACCTACAAAAAAAATCAAATAAATTGATTCTAAATTAATTTAAACCATCCTTTAATAATAATATGGTTTATTCTGGAGAACGCTATTTGCAAATATCTTCAAAAGGGTTAGTATCTAAATCATTTAATGAATTCATAGGATTATTAATTTAATTTTCATAACCCAATGGAGTTTAAATATTTACTAAACTTTATGGAGTTTATTTAACATTCTAACCAAAAGTTGTATTCGAAGGTTAGACTCCTGGAGATGCAGCATTTTTCATTGTAGATTGACGATGAAATTTTCTAGTTAATAATGTCATCTTTGTATTATTATCAGTCAACCATTTTGCAAATTCATCAAATGAAATAGTCTTATCACCATCTAAATCTAATTGCTTAAATATGATTTTGCAATCCGTATTTGATAATGTTTTATCTATTTTTCTGAGTAGTACAACTAATTCTTTATATTCTAAAGTATGATCTCCATTAACATCAAGTTCATTAAATAACTTAATGACATCAATATTCTATTTAATAATCTTCTACCTGACTTCGTTCATTAAAAATTTGATTTAATCTTACTTTATCTAGGATCTGTAATTCTTGAAATGTTCACACACTAATTTATGTTTAAAGACTGCATCCCAATCAAATCTTTCCTCTAAAATATTAATTTCTATAACCTTCTTCTATTGCCAAACAACCTTCAATGAAAGATTTCATTTCATTACTAATTTACTTTTTGTCTTCTGAAAATTAAAGTAATGTATGCCACAATTAATGTTAATATTCATCCAATTTTGCACCAAACCAAGGAGTATATCCAAAGAGTACTTAATACAATATAATACCCAATGACCATATATCACATTTATTTGTATATTTTTGACCTTATAAAATTTATGGTGATAAATATTAATATTAAGAAAGTTATTGTTGTTCTTTTCTAAATGACTCTAAACATTTAGATAACCCACAATCTATATATTTTTAATAGAATTACCTGCTAATTTAAAGACACCTTCATTTACCATAATATTTGATAATTTTAATCCTCTATGAATCACTCCATGTTTATTTAACTCAGTGAACCCTTCAAGTAAATCATTTAACATCTTAATAGCTTCCTATTCACTCATACACATCTTCTCTTTATCCTTCTTTAAATATCTAACATAACATATAAAATTTAACTGTTATAAATTGAGTTGACTATATTCCATCACCATATAATAAGTTCCTTCATGTTAAAATACATCTAATAAATCTACTATCTTTGGATTCTTTATTTTCTGAAATAATTTTATTTCATCTAATAATGCCAACTGAATAGCCTCATCATCCTTTAAAATACTCTTAGGAATTGCTTTAAGAACAACATCAATATTTTTCTCTGAGTCTTTTGCTTTATCAACCTATATTAGTTTTAAAAAATTGTACTCTCCCCAATGATCCACTTCCTAAATAACTTGAATTTGATGTTATATATTTTCCTATAGACTTTTACATTTAATTTAATTAATATGTAAGAAACTCCTTTAAAATATATGATGGCAGACTAATATTATTTAGATCATTCAGATGAATACTCTTCAATTCAATTCTAAGAAAATCAATACTTGGTCAATCTTAATCAAAATGATGTCCCAATATTTCAATCTAAATTAATCAAGAATCCCACTGCCAGTCTTATTGGAAATTATTGTCTATCCAGTATTATAATATTCATATTACCTTTGATTCATCTATCATAGTAATCCACTAAATTGATCCTTTATTTGCTACCATCAGAGTTTTTAAGGATAAATTCCTTAATATTTTAAATGAATTCATCAAATATGAAGAAATGTTTGACCGCCAAAACCCTTTTTAAGAATATTTATGCTAAAATCAATATATAAGAACACATATTGATAATCTAAGCGATATTAAATATATAGATGATTGTATTTACATCTCTTATTCATCCTAGAATTATATATATAATTAAATAAAAACAGATTATTTGAATACTTAGATCAAAAATATGATAGTTTAGTGAAATATATGCATTCAGATGGAGTGTTCTAATTGCAATCATGTCACTCTAAAGAAATTGAAGGTATCATTATCAGATTATTAAGATTATGAATTGTAAAACTGTAAATTATTTTATGAATATATTGGTAAAGATTTATTTTTAGAATATTATGAATACAAGTAGACTTAATTGTGTGAAAAGGTTACAACAATGACTTTCTCAACTCAATTCTGTACTCAACTAACCAGAACTTTAACTTTGAGTAATCATTCATTTAAAGATTAAATTGGATTGAAAGACTAAGGAGATGTCACATAGATATGAATATTCAATTACACTTGTAAATAGCATAAAAAATTAATAATTCTTATTTTAACTATTTATTAATCTATAGTACATAAAATTCATCAATATTTATATTTAAATGTTTTTATTAATCAAAATATATCTACTATTATAATATATTGAATTATAATCTTTCTGAATAAAATAAACCTATAACATTCTTTAATTTAATTTGTTACTAAACCGAATTTCTAATCATATAAATTATAAATTATAATATAATATTTTAGATGTAATTGATATTATATTTTTCTTGTTTTTAATTAATTTTTGTTTCTAACTTATTTTTATTTATTGAATAAAGTAATTAATTATATGTTTTTCATATTATCTTATTAGAATTTTTTAGATATTAATAAATAAAAGTCACATAATTTATTATAGGTTTAATAACTTATATTAAAAATTATTTTGAATCAATTAAATATTGTAACAATAACTCAAGAAATACAACTTTAATGTTTATAAACTGTTAATATCTATTTTTATTAATTTGAGAATATATAAAATATTAATACTAAGTCTTAATTTGCATAAATAAAATATTTTATTATATAATATAATGTAAACAATTCAGCTCATTTTAATAGCATTTAATTACTCTTTTAATGCAGCTAATTGTAATTATAATTGTAATAATTCTGGACTTGTTCTCATAGAAACTTTAGGTGTATAAACTGGAGCAGGCATATTATTTCCATACATCATTTTTTATGCTTAAGATACCTAATATATTTTATAATTAAAATTACATTTTAAATTCCTGTTTCATTCCAATCATTAATCATTTTTTATCTTTCAATAGAGTTTCTTCTACTTGATTCTCTACTACTGCTACTCTTCTTCTTTTTAGATTTCTTTTCCTTCTTTTTATGTTTTTTTGGACTTTTTCTAATAAATAATAATTTAAATGATAATACTCATTAATTTCTTTTTCTTTTTTTTCTTTGTAATCAGGATGTTCTTCAAACATTTAATTGAATAAACTTTTCTTGAATTTGGTTGATATTTTCTTAAGATGTAAATAATTACAAGCTCCACCTCTAAATAAATGTATAATTTTATACCTTTGACATGTACCATCAATATATTGTTTACATTTAGCACTGCTGAAATCAAGTACAGGTGAATATTCCATTGATAATGGTCTGTTTTCATACGATAGATTTTGTAAAGCATTAAAACAACCTTCGGCATAATATTCAGATGTATATTTCACATACACATTGCCAACTAAATGATCACCTATGTTTTCACATACTATTAGATCTTCAATCTCTCCAAATTCAGCCAACTGTTATACATATATAAATCTATACCATACCTTTAAAAATACATCTTCATAAAAGTTTTCGAATTTTTCTAATGCTTCCTCTATACCTGCCTAAGACACTGCATTTCCAGATGCTATAGCAACTTCTATAGGAGAATTTTGGTACATATGCTTTAAATTTCATGTATGAATTATTACTTTAAATAATATTGTTTAAGAAATGGGAGGTATGCTGTGGATTCTTTAGCATTTATTTTCATATCTACAAGCACCAATTTTTATATAGAATGAACAATTAACCTATAATATAAGATGTATTGATAACCTTGTCTTCTTCGGTTCCATATACTCTTTCTAATCCTCCTGCCATATTTTATCAAAATATATTATTGGAAAATTTAATACCATCTAAAACTTGTTTAAAGAAATTTACAAATATTAATTAATTACTAAACATGATACATTAAGTAATATAATAATTCTTGTCTATACTAATGAAAAAAGAAATTATTCTAAACATCTACAAATAATCTATTAGAACACTGAGCTTAATATTTAATAAAGTTAAATTAAAATCATTATTAATCTTTTTTTTTAATGAAAAATGAAAATAAAGAAATCATTGTACACAACTTTACCTGTTTTAAAAATTTGAGACTTAAGAATTAATTACTCATACTTATAAGTTTCTTGATTATTTTGATTGTTACTATTCTTGTATGTAGTAATTATATTCATACAACCTTTGTCCAATTCTATTTTACATAATCCTCTGTAGAAATTTACACTAAGTTTTCTAGTGCATTTATCTAAACTCAACTCTCTAGCTATTAAAGGTATTTCACTTCTTTACTAGATACGAGTAACTTATTAATATCTAATAATAGATGGTTAAACCCTAATCTCATTATTTTAGTTATATGATTATCTAAGGAAAAAGAATAAGAGTCAAATATCACCCTTAAATCCTTAATTCAATATGAATTATGGTGGTAAACATGTAGATATTCCTAAAACTATATTCTAATCAACCAAAATATCAAATTACAATTCCACCTTATCCTTTATTTGTTACACTAATAAAACGAAGTTTCACAATCCCTATACAGAAGAAGAAATATTGAATATAAAAACTTAGGAGTAATTATAAGCATTTGGTCCAATCCTTTATAAAGGTAATACAACCTTTTAATCATTACTCTCTGCTTATGTAATAAGAGATAATATATTAATGACATATCCTTGTTTACAAAGATATGATATTGATAATTACATTCCTGAAAACAGGAGTTGGTACAAAGAACTTTATCAGAATTATAAGAGTCATAGTCCTTACAATAAATACAATTTTTCATTAACTTATCCATATTTATGTATATTAATTATTTCGTCCGTTAGTATTCAAATCAGTTAATATTGGATTATCTTTGACTATGCCATTTGTGGATGAAAAATTAGAATTAATTGGAGGAGCCTCTTTTGATTTGATTCCTGCAAGACTTTTTGCAAATCTAATTTAATAATTTGGCTAAGATTTCACATCTATATATCTGGTTTCTTTAGATGGAATATTGATTATGCATCCTTATAATATAACATCTGATTAATTACCTTTATATTTCTATAATACTACTATTACTGGATTTACAGTAGAAGATTGGGAGAGTTTAAATAGTGTTAACATCAGTTCTAAATGTAAAAACTCTACTACTTAAAAAGAATTAAATTGCTTATTTAATTCCTTCTATAATTAAGATATGTTTGTGAGCATGTAAACTATTAAATCATACAATATTTCAATAGTTGTGTAAGATTTTTATTTTAAATTAAAGTTTAATTAGTAGTTAAGAATTTAACAAATTCTAAGAAGAATATAATGATAATCTATTAAGTTAACTAATTAGAAAATTCTATCTAACTTTGATTGAATTAATAGGTGTATTTTTATTTTTGTGTATCTTAATATATTTTACAACAAATTATTTGTTTCGACCTATAGAGACAATAATAGATTATGCAATTAGTAAGATCTAAAAGAGAAAGTATATATATATTGATTATTTTAGTTATTAACCTAAGATGATATCGAGTTTACTTTAATAATTTTTAAGTGTTCAAATAGTTTAATTATATTAATCATGTTATTAATTTCACAAATTATTGGAAAGTTTATCTTTTACTAAATCAAAGTAATGTGAAGAAATTGAAAATTTGTAATATCCTATTCTGAAAGATATATATTCATTAGGAGACTATATTAATTTTAGAAAGATAAAGTATTTTTAGGATTAAATATATATTTAGATGTTATTCAAAGAAAAAATGTGAATAAAGTTTGGAACACTTTTTGATGATTAAGAATATTATTCGATCAACTCTTAAAATAACAATAAATAATGAATGATATATTACTTATTTGTATTTGATAATAAAAATAAGATTGTAAACAAAATTAAATGAAAGATCATTAATAATAATATTTTTATGCATTTCTTGGTGATTTTGGACTTTGTTCTCGAACACTTTTGAGATTTGGTAATCTTGAACTTGAATAATTTAATGTAGAAGTATTATTTGAGTTGTTATTATTATTATTAGAATTTCTTTTAAATTAAGATAAAATATTCAGTAAGGTTTATTATTATGGAATAGTTTTCAGAGAGTTTTATTATTAATTCTTATTAACAGGAGAATTAGATCTGGCAGATTTATTATAAGCATAAGCAATTGGTTTAGCTATTACTTTTCTATGAGATGGACTACCAGGTTATTAAATTTAACTTTGTGGTTATTATATTGTTTATTATCGCTTAGGAAATTCTACTTTGTCTATATTTTCTAAAGCAACTCTTACTGGACTTTATTCTTTTTATGCTTATCTATTAAATGAATATCCTTAAAAATGATCTTTTTTAACTCTCCTACTAGAATTCCAATTCCAAGGTTCTTCTTCTTCAAATTATTCAAAATTTTAAGTATCTATTTCATGATTCACTTAAGGTTAATAAGGAGTAATTTTATCTCTTATTTTTTTCCAATCTACTCCTTAAAAAAATGGATGAATTTTAATTTCACTTACTCCATTTATACCTAATCTTTCAGTATGATCAGCCACTAATCTACGAATTAAATCAATGCATTAAGGTGATAAACTAATATCTTATGGAATTTGAAATGTTGATTGCCAATGTAAAATATTTTAACAAGTTGTTTAAGGATCATCCGAAAAGAATGGAGGATATCCAACAACCATTTCATACAACATAACTCCTACACTCCACCAATCAACTGTTTCAGTATATCCTTTTTATGTAAATACTTCTGGAGCAATATAATCAGGAGTACCAACTGTTGATAAAGCTAATTATCTTCTCTTTTACATTTTACTAAGTGTTGGAATAGTAGGAGCTGGATTTTAATTTTAAATTTTTCTGCCTAATTCAAGTTTTGGTTTAATTTCTGAATATCTTAAATAAATCAAATATAATAGAATACTTGCATAAACCAAAGTCAGATAATTTTAGATGTCCTTTTCTATCAATCAAAATATTATCTGGTTTGAGATCTCTATGAATATAATTAATTTTATGGATTGAATCAACGGCTAAAACTAATTCTGCAATATAAAACTTGGCTTCATCTTCAGTTAATATATCTTTTTTCATTAATAATGTCATTAGATCTCCACCTGCCATATATTCCATAACTAAATACAAATATTTGTCATCCTCAATATTATAAAAATTCTATACTTAAAAACTACATTTTAAATCTACAACCCAAGGGTTCTCTTAACTTAAAATGTCTCTTTCTGCTCTAATGTGTGCTAATTGATTTTTAGCTAACATTTCACATTTCTTCATTTTTTTCACTGCAACAATCTCTTTAGTCTTTTTAATTCTACAAACTCTAACTTCTCCAAAAGCTCCTCTTCCTATTATTGCTATTGGCTCAAAATCATCTGTACAAAACTTCTATCTTCTAATGATTATATATTCAAAATTATTATTTACTTTTTTCTCATCAATTCAGCTTCCTTCTTTAAAACCAACTATTTATAATATTCTTAATCCTAAACTAAAATTAAATTTATCTATATATCTCAATTACCCTTCAATTACATATCTTTCATTTTAACCCACAATTTGGCCCAATCCTCCCTTCTCTCCATCTCTGCTTATAATAAATCTGTATATTTTCTCTCTATATATCTTTTGCATGCCTCTACCTTATCTTTGGTTGAATTTGATATTGTTAATTATTTTCTTGGAAATTGATGATCCATTTATTTTATTTAATTATAATGGCATAACTTATATATCAAATTATATGAAAAAATCTAATATCTCAAATAATGCGGTTTTTTTAATTTTTATATATTGATTAATATATATATATATATCAATATTTTCAGATCTATTAAGATAGCAAATTAATCATATATTATTATTAGAATAAATAATATTGCATTAATTATTCTTACAATAATAAATTTTAAATCTAAATAAATTAATCTAAATACATACATTAACAGGTAACATTTAATTTCCATTGTCTAACTCCTCCTCCTATTTCACTTTCTTCAAAATATTATCCTCATTATGGAATTCACAAAAGTTTTTTGTTGGTAATTTATCAAAGTCTTTATTGAATTTTCTAAAAGCTGATTTTCTTTCTCCATTTGATTGCTATCTGTTGAATTAACCTTATGGATATATTTATTATTGATTCTATTCTTCTATTTGAATTTATATTTAAGTTTCTGAATTAGCTATGTTCATCATTTCAACTAATTTATTATATGATGCATAATATGATTTGATATCATAATCTAATTTTTAATAGATTGATTCATCAACATATTTTCTTTCCATTACGTTTACACTACTTTATATAAATAATTAGGTTAAAGATTCTTCAATCTAATATAATAATATAGATATATAAATACTTTTTTACGAATTCGATTGTTATTTGATTAAAAAGCTATGATATATTCAGATTATCCTTATTTTTATTTTAATTATTTTTGAAATTCTATCAGATGATTGTCTGTTATCATAGTTTTCATATGATAGATGGTCATACATTTTGAAAATTTTAAGGCCAAAAATAATGGATGTTTAATCTATATATGATAATTCTAAAAACGATACTTTATTACGTATGTTTGGAGCAGTTAAATAATTATGTAATCCATTTTCATTATTTTCTATGGGAGCTTAGACAACATCATTAAAATGCTTCTCTTTCTTACAAAAATTTCTTTCCAAATATTTTGGTTCAAATGGTTGTATAAATTATGTTTATCTGTGTTCATCTCTTGCACTTTTTCTGCTATCAACAAAGACTGGAGGAGACTCAAGTGCAGTTATAATGTTATTTCCACTTTTTAATAATAAAATCAAGTAAAACTTATGTCCCTAATGATTGTAAGTAGTACTGTTAAATTTAACACCCTAAATAAAAATCGATTAATGAAAATACAGAAAAAAATGCTTTGCCATCCACTAAGTCTTGTTATGTAACACCTTCCAAACCTACTTCTTCATAGACTCCATTTTGATTTAGTTTTACAGCCATCAATTAAGCCTAATATAAATATTGATAACTACTTAACAATCTATCTATTAAGATGTATCTTCATCTTCAAGTTGTAATTTAATAGATAGATTTGGTATATTCCAACTTTTATGCCAATTCCAACCTAAATCATTTGAGAATTATAATTCTCTTTCAGTATCAATTTTCAAATGTATAGGACCTTATTTGGCTGTGACAGAAGGTTAAAGATTGATAAGACAAGTCTTAGTTAACACTTGGGAAACTGTTGGAGACCAAGTAAAAGAATTTTTGTGATATGCCATTTAATGCAAATGGAATTTAAAATAATTTTTAAGATATTGATTCTCATTATTTTTATTTATTCATTAAATTATCGAAAATAATTATAAATTTATAAAAACAATAGTATCTCATTTGACTTCTTCAAGTCTTAAAACACAAATAAAAATTTTGAATAAATACAATAAGTACTTTAGCATATTTTTCACTCCATACAAATATTTAATATAATATAAAAGTGTTTTAATTATTGTTTTTTATTATATTATTTAAAAACAATAATAATTTTATAAAACATTGAATTTCAGTCCACTTTGGATCCATATATTGTATTATATTTCAGTGTCATCATTATTTTATTACTTACACTAAAAATTAAGATATATTATTAAATGAATTGAATAAATTTCATTAAGTACAGTTAAATCCATAATATTCATTAAATACAGATTATTAATAATTGAAATGATTGCATATATACAAAATTAAGTTATGAACAATTTATTGATATCCTCCATCATTCAATTATAATCAATCAAAATCTTAATCATAAATGATCTTCGTTTGTTCTGTTGAAAATTATATCATTTAGAATCAATTTTTTATCTCTTTTTACATAAAATTAATTTTAAATGTTATTTCATGTAAATAGATCCATATAATTATTCCTAATCCTATTAATAAATCATTAGAAGATCAATAAAAATTGATTAACTTTTTATTAGAGTCTTAAAATTAGATATATAAGATTTATTATATTTATTCCATAAATCTAAGAAGAATGCTTAATCAATTATAATATGAGTGTTATTCTTAAATTAAAATTAAAAACAAGAGAGTAACTAGATACAATTTTGATAATAATAAAGTCATATTATAAAATATCACAATTTATCTGTAATTTCTATAGTGTCAAACACAAATGTATGGACTTTATAAATACAGACAGGAGTTAGAATGAAACTAAATAAAAATCCTAAGCTTTCCATAATTGAGAGGAATACTAATCCTCCTTCACCTTGATCTCCAAAATATGCTGCTCTTACAAATCCATTCCAACCCAAAGCGTCTATAATACTCACAATTAACCATAATATACCAGCTACCAACTTAATTTATTTTAATAGATTACATGTAAAATCTTGTACCATTTTAGCAAGGATTAATCAGCACATAGTCCCTTGTATCCTCTATAAAATATGTACATTTGGATTCCGTTAAATATGAAGATGTTGAGGAATCCATATAATATTCTGATTTTAGGATATCCTACTCCAGCTTAAATAAAGCTATCCAATAGATTTAAACAAGTTGTGCCAAATATTAATAGATAGGAAATGTAAAGAAGACGTACTAATGACTTATACGGATCTTGTAATTCACTTAAATCGAAATGAAAGATCTTAATAATAGGAGGCCAGTTAAAGTCGGTCCAATTGATGTCAGGTTGATTAGACTTTTTGCCTATAATTGCTGCCTAATATTTTTACATTTGATAATAATTAGTTTTATATTAATACTTGATTATTATGTGATAGTTGCATCCTACACTAATTATATTATAATTTTTCTATAAATGTAATAATAAAAAGTAATCTTTGAATAGCCATGTCCAAAATAAGTTATTGAGTAAATATATGCTTTTCAAATAGTGTGTCAATTTATGAAAGCGATAGTAAAAGCTACTGGAGGAAAATAAGAAATGTTTGTCATTCAATACGATTATTCTAAATGCCTCTTATCAAATCTATTTAATCACCTGTATATATTTAAATCAAAATAACAGGATGAAGTGACTTTTAATTAGAAACAAACTAAATTCCATTCATGTACTAATATAGGTTCTTTGAACAAGGAGGAACATATTGCTAAAAAAAGAGCAAATGATGATTTAAGTGATGCATTGAAAGCTATAAAGAGAGAAAGAGAACTATTTTACTATATAGAGAAAGGTACATCAATTGAATTAATTGAAAAAATTCTAATGAATGATCCAAATAGGTATTTTATAATTTTATAATGATAGATTCCTTTATGAATAAAAAAGTTCTATGAGACTTGTAAACAAAAAGAATTCTTAAGGATTCACTCCATTATATATAGCAGCAAAGAATGGATTTGAAGATGTTTGTAACATTTTAATTTAATATGGTGCTGATTAAAATATTTCAGTATAAGTAAATTATAATTAAAACTATATTTAGATAAATTAAATTGATGATTACCCATTGGTAGTTGCACTTCGATGGAGACATTTTGAAGTTATCGAACTACTATTAGCCAATAATCCAAATGAAAAAGTGAGAATATTATTTTAATAATCAATCGACAAGAGTCTAAGACAAAAATATTCTTAATATATTTGAAAATGTATTCATATGGTTACTTATTTTCTATATGTATGTATTATTTAAATTAATATAATTATACTCTTCTCATTCATTTAATTAAAAAACTAATGAAATCCATTTTAATTGTATTTATCACATTTACTATCATAAATTCAACACCATTAACATGCACAGAAGCTTTGACTATGACAGAATGTAAAGATATAATAAATGGAATGTAATATTCATATATTTATATTAGTTATGAATGTATATGGTATGAGAATACATGTTAATTGAAAACCTGTTAAAATTCTTAAATTCCTTGTGATGGATAAGTTTATAATGGTGAACTCTGTACTACTAATAAATAAGGATGTTAATCAGTAAAAAATTGCTCAGATATTGACAATTAATAATCATGCTCTTTACTTAAACCATATGGAATAGAATGTTATTGGTAAGATTCATGTATAGTTAAGAATTGTTCTCACAATTCTAAATCAAATTGCAAATTAACTAATGGAGAGTAATGTATTTATTAAAATGAAAATTGTTCATCAATTAATAAATGCACTGATATTATTGACAAATCAAGTTGTTTAGCATCTTAAATTCTCAAATTAAATTGTATATGGATAGATGATCAATGTCTTACAGATTCTTGTAAGGCCATCCAATCTAAAGTATTTATTAAATATTATAAAATTAGGAAAATTGTTTTAAAAGTATTAGAAATTCAGAAAAATGTTTTTTCACTTAAAATAGAGATGAAGATAATTATTGTTTGAGTTGTTCATAATTAAATGAATAATGTAAGTGTAATCAATATAGTATTTTTGGTTGTTAATGGTAAAATAATTCATGTCAAGAACTTTAATTAAAACTTTCATGTAATGCTTATTAGAATGAAATATAATGTGTGGATGATAAATTATGTGTTTGGTATAAACCAATGAATAAGTGTTTAACTATTTAAGAAGCATCAGAAAATGATAGAGCTTGCGATATTTATATATTTGGTTCCATTTTACATATTTGGACAATAATTATTCTAATAATTTTTTGGTGAATTTATCATATATTATTTATATTAAAAATTATTTTATTTATATGCTTGTTTTCAGGAGTATTTTCAAATATAAATAATAAATATACGAAGCCCCTAAAAGATTTAGTAAAAATGAAATACAAATTAATGCTCAAAAACAAAAAGCTAGATTAATGTCAGAAAAACTATTATAATAAACTTCTAATATTGAAAGTAATACTCCAAGAATTGTTTCAATTTTATTTGGTGTCATGACTGTACCTACATTTTATTATTTTTACAATGCTCTCAGTATTAAATTCGAAGACATTTCCTATTTTTATAATGTTAGATTATGTATCGATTGGTTAAATTTGAAATATGGCTTATTATGTGGCTCTTTAATTGGTTTAAACATGATGAGATTTGATGATTTTAAAGCTAAAAATAAATTAAGATCAAAAGTACCAATCAATTATACATATTATTCTCTCCCAATCCTTTTGGGTTTGTGTTCATATTCATGTATTGAAACTCTATCATAATGGTGGGTAGTACCTACTTTCATAAATATCATTTCAACAATGATAGCATATTCACACTCAACTAATATGGGAACTGCTCCTTTTTGGACATTTGCTATAGTATATTAAATATTAGTTTTGGATTTAATAACTACAGGAAGTCTATTTTGGTCATAAAGGAATTTAAATTAGCATAGAGAAAAAAGAAAAGAGTTGTATTATAAATATTGAAAGAACAAAATATAAATATAATAATTAACATGAATCATTCTTTTTAAATTGTCCCTTCAGATACTTTTTTGAATATTCTCAATCAAAATAATATTTCTGTTGTTGATATTGATGATGACTATATAGTAGAGTAAGAATGGATGTTTGAAAATGAGAACAATTTTCCAGAATCAAAAATTGAAGCATAACAACCTATAGTTTATGAAAGATCTTAAGCCCTTGTAGGGAATCAACTATTGTAAAAGTTTAAGAAAACAAAAGAAGAGGATCTGTTGAAACAAAATAAAGAAATTTTTTAGGCTAATCAATCCAAAAGCCTTTATCTTAATAAAATTTAGTAATTAATTGATAGTCCAGCTGTTGTAAGCAAGCCAAAGCAAACGTATAATTGCTTTATCCACTTAGACGTCAGAAAGTAATTGTGGAAAGCGACTCTTCAGATGGAAAGGGTAGATTAATGAAAAATAGAGAATCAGCTAGGAATTCTAGAAAAAGAAAGAAAATATATGTGGAATTATTGGAAAATAAAGTAAAAGAGTTGACAGATTAAATTAAATAGTATGAATACAATTTGTAATAATACAAAATTTAAAATCTATAAGTAAATCTTAATAAATATATTATGCAGTTAGAAAGTTTTAGAGAAGATTATTATAGATAATTAAATTAATTGAATGGATTATAAAGTATTCAAGTATTACAAGAGTAATATGGTGCTACTTCATAACGTCGTTGGAGTGTATGTACTGAATTAATTAATTTATTAATTGAGTCTACGATTCCAATAGAAATTAAAAAGCTTATGGAATCAGCAAAAAATGGAACTGATATGTTTATAAGTCCACTTTTGAATCATAATTCATGTTTATAATACAAAGAGTATTTTTAAAAAGGAATTTTTGATTTAGAGATGTAAACAATTATTTAAATTGAGAGCAACAAAGAATTTTGGATTGTCATATGATAAAATAAGAGAATAAGTATTATATTTAGAGAGACTAAAATTGGAAGTTATAGAAACAATTGGAGCTAATTAATACATTGAATACTTAAATTAATAATTCAATTGAAATTTAAATTAAATAAAATATTTTATAAAATCTAAATATTAAAAAATCAACAAATATGAATATTCTCCATAGCTAATTGTTCTTCAGTTTAAATTTATAATTTACTAAAATCAATTTTCACTAAAATATTATTGAAATAGAATTTACATTTTATTGCAATTTCTTAGCATAAAGTAAGTTTAGTAAAGAATTTTGTTTCAAATATTCTTTAAACTTATGATTCTAATGAAAAATTATTAGGAATTAAAAAGGATTTCATTTTAGAAATATATTATTTTAAATTTTATGTATCATCAGTTTCGATTGTAAGTTATTCAATATCATACATAAGATGTTATTTGTATAACATACAATTAAAGAAGTTTATCAAATAATTAATATAATTAGGAATATTTAATTTGATACAATTTGTAGCTTTGATAATCATAATGTTAATCATCTCTATAATTAAATTTGTATATTACTAGTATTGATAGGTAATTGTTTTTAGATTTCTATTAATAGTTGTTTAACATCATATTAATTTAGATCAAGGATAGATAATCCACAAATTAATTCACTATAAGTTCTTCCTTCATCATATATTCTATTTAAATTATAATTATTACACTTCTTATAGAATATTAGTATAATATTAAATAATCTATTCTTAATATTATCCCTATTTAAAATTACTAAAAAGCAAACATAATAAGGTTAATTAATTATTCTTATATATTTATTTAGTATGCTTAGAAATAAATTAGAATGTTAAATTATAATCAGCAAGATCATGCAATAAAATATAATAATAAAGTTAAATTATTTGATTAAATAAATCTGGTTCATCTGTAAGAAGCATTAAAAAGAATGTTTAGATTTATTAAAAGTCTGCTAAAATTAAATCAGATTTAATAGGTAGAATTGCTGTGTATTTTCTAAAAAGTAAACAAAGAACAGATAAACCTTTAGTAAAATGTGTATTCTAAATTAAACAATCTTTAACTATTCTAATTATACCAATAAATATAATATTTAGAAGATTTAATGACCAAATTTCGATAATAAATTCAAAAACATTTAATATCATTCCTAAAATTATATTTATATATACTTTATCTATATTTATATTGATGTTATTCTTATAATCCTATTTTCCATTCATTTTCAATTAATGAAATAACAGAATAATCTCCTTATTCTAATTATACTATTTCACAAAGAGTCATCAAAATGTTTTCTTTATGTATAAGTTTTTATTAGACTAGAAATATATCTTTAAGATCAGTATATGTTTAATGTGTAATTAAATTTTTTTATGGATACAAAGAATGTAAATAAATAAGATTATTTACTATTTTACAAATGTACTAAGGATATTAAATTAAATTTGGATTCAATTATTATTATAAAGTATTAATAAAAAAATTAATTTATTTTTCTTAAATGACATTTTTCTATAATAATTTTCTTAATAAATTAAGTATTTGCATTTTTAAAGGTATGTAAATAGTATTTGAAGTTTTTATTATAGTTATTATTTCTTAAAAGAATTTCTCATCAAATAAATTCATAGGAATTGAAGAAATATTCTCACATATTACAAAATAATGTGCTTCTAATTTTATGCAATTAAATTCTTCATGTTAATAATCATCATTGATTAAATCTTTTAAACGAAATAGTTATTTAATCATAATATCTTCTGAAATAAATCCAGTCATATGATGAATAAAATGAGCACCAAATCTCCTTATTTTTATTAATAGATAATCTTATTTATTGTCATCTCCAATATTATTAAATTGATTTTCATATTAATCATAATCTAACATAATTAAATTAATCATTGTAAAAAAAATAATTGATTCTTATTTCCAATCTTCTATTTTTCTATCAGATAATAATTATTTAAAGACTTTCAATATTTTATATGCTAAATGTTTATCAGTTATTCTTTGGTTTTCATTTTACATATAAGTTGACATTAATATATCAAATAACATTGTTTAAATCTCTTATGGTGGTAATCCATTTTTATTTAATTTATTAATAACTTTAGCAAACTTTTTTAATAAATTATATTCAAGACAATGATAAGTCAAGATTTCACAAAATTAATGATTTATTGTACTCTTAATAGTTTCATCAAATTTATATATTGATGATATTAATGATGTATACAAATCAACAAGAAGATTCAATTTTTGTATATCTATTAAATTATAATAAACTATCATTCTTTTAGTTATAGTTTAATATTCTGTATGTTTCACTTTAACTTTTATGTAAGGATTGTTCATCATTTCTGTAATTATTTTAATATGATAACTATCATATGTAGGTTGATTTATTATTTATTAAATGATATCTAATGAAGGTAAGGATTTTACAATTATAAAATTTAATAAATCGCAATAAAATGCAATAAAAAAAGAATCAAATTTATTTATGAATTCTAAGATAATACTTTAAATTTCTTTTTGAATATAATTAGGAGAGTAATCATAATTCTTCATAATGAAATTCTTCAGAAATATAAAATATTATAATTTTATATTTTAATTGCTATATGGTATAAGTAATTACTCAAAACCTTATTTAATATTTCCAACATCTTTAAATATTCTATTGAGTTCAATCTCAGATTGAGTACGAATAGATTCATTCTGATCAAATAATTATTGAATTAGGACTAATATTTATTCCATTTAATTAATTAATGGAATAAAATACTAAGACTAATTAAGAATATGTAATACTATATTGATTATATAAGTTTAAAAAACTAAAGCTTATACAGAAGAAGATGAATGATGTGAAAGCTGATCAGAGTCCTTCTGTGATTAAATATATGGTGAGAAGAAAAAGTGCTGAAGAAATTCCATTACCTTTGCATGATGTTGAATATAATAATCAACCATAAAAGAAATAGTTATTTTTCTTTAAAAACTTCTAAAAAGTGACAATAGATCCTCATATAAAATTGGATGAAATTAATGAAGAAAAATGGACAATTATGACTAATAATTATAAATCACTCATAGAGAAATCTCGTTAAAGTCTAATAAAACATAATGAAACTGGTGAGACTTAATTTCATAATAAGGAACCACGTAAAATGTAATTCATTACAAGAAGATAGTCTATTGAATATCGATTACGTGAAATAGTTACTGTCCCTAGTAATCATACCTCAGTCTCACCTTTGAAATTAAATACTCAATCAAATATCTAAAACTCAATTGATCCTACATATGCTCGATTCAAAAAATATTATTAAAGAATAGGTATTCCATCTGAAAGCCCTGTTAAATTGAGACTATAGAAAACTATGTCTACTACTATATCATAATAATAAAAGAAAGAAAAGAGTTCACATTCAAATAATTCCCTTAATCATTCTCCTTCTTTACCTCTTTCAAAAGTAACTAATATCAAAAAAACAAATAATCATGTCTAATATCTTAAAGAAATTAATGAAATATGTTCTATAGCATCTAATTATCATGCATAAGTTAAATAAGATGAAAAAAATCAAATTTAACATACAAGTTAATAAATTGGATATATATAGGCTGAATTCAATAAATTTCATAATATGTTGACATCTGATTTAGAAACTGTCAATTTCATTGATTATAAAAAGTGATTATTTTATATAATGAATAAATTACTATATTAATTTTAGACTATTGGATTTGCATGTGATAAAGAATACCATAAAGGAATGAAAGAAGTTAAAAAAAGATTTGAAGAAATTAATCAATTTAAAAGAAAGGCATTAAAGGATTTCAATAATGTTGATAATGTAATAAATTCCATTAGTGATATCATTGAAAAAAGGAAAAGAGAACCTCTAAGTAAATCAATTGATTGTTCTTCATTTTCAAATAATAAATAATAAAGATTATAATCATGTCTCAATAAAATGGGTTAAATAGATTATGATTAATAACAACTAGATAAGGAATCTGGAATTAGAACTGCTAGTATATTTTCTGATAGAATTGCTGCTATATTACCATAAAAGGAATTAATAGATAAAGAATTGAACTAAGAATTAGCTATTAATTGTCATTTACATGATACTTCTAAATTCGGATAAATTATGGAATAAGCTTTACTTTTACATTCATTTCATAAAGATTGTAGTGAAAAGCTTAATTAAAATTTAAGTTTATTAGATCCAAATAATTTTAAAACTAGAAGGGAAAGAGCTAAGTTTTAATAAAGGAATGAAATGAATTAAAAGAGTGTGTAAGCTTAAGAATATTATATGAAAAAATTTCAATTAGAACATATGAGATTAAAAGATAAATTAATTGATTCAGATTAAAAAACTCTTATTGATCATAAATATTGTTAAGATAGAAATAAGGGATTAAGGAGTGCTAAAAATAAGAAAAGAATTTAATAAGTAACAGAAAAAATTAATAGAAATAAAATACTTGTTATCTAAAATTTATTTAAATCAGGACATGATCAAAAATCTCAAAAAGCAGATGAAGTACTTAGGTTTTTAGAATTATATTCAAAAGTTGATAGAGAAAATAATTAAATATTTAGTTAAGTTATTAACATAAATGGTTTATTTTCAATGAAAATTGAATCATATTTAAGAAAGATATTCTTTAAATTTTCTAAAAAAGAATGTGATGATTTAAATGAACTTTACAAGTATATTAATTTATAAGGTTATCTTGAATGTTTTCATTTATCACATTTAGACATTGAAGATAAGGAATTAATTACTGTTTATTAAAATAATGTTAAAATATAGAATTTAGATTAAGATAGAGGATTGAATTTTAATTTTTTCAGAGATTCTCTTATTGATATTGCAAATTGTATTTCTTTGTTGCCAAATAAAGAAGAAAAATTACTTAGGTAATTAATTAATTCTAAAAGTAGATTAGTAGATGAATATCTATTAGAAATTTATGATTAAGTACTAGATGTAAATGAAATTAGAATACTTACAATTAAATCGTATTAAGAATTTAATAATTTATTTTTTCCACTCATACAAAAATTATTTCTATTATATGGTTAATAAATAAAAAATTACAATTTCAATGATTAAAGACTTAATTTAGACAAGATTATATTAGTGTTAATGTAAATTAAAGTGTTTCCACAAAAATTTAGTAAATAATTTATAAGACATCATTATTGTTATAGTGCAGAATAAGATGAAGGTTTAGATCTGAATTAATTTTAACATTTCCTTAATTTAATGGCTTTGAGTCAAAACAAACGTATTTCTATAAGTAGAGAACTCAATAATATCATTCAATATAATTAATATAAATTATAATCAAAATTTGAAGATATAACTGAATACGAATAAAAGATATTTAGGAAAATAATGATATTTTATTTTCATAGTGAATTCTTAAATTTATAAAATGTTGAATAAGATTGAATTTATTTTAAACATTCTCTTAAATTAATAAGATATAAACATCAATTAAAATCATTATATCACATTATTAGATAGATCTTCTAACATAATTGATCATATAATGATATTCAAGAATTTTAAATATGTATTTATATAATTCATAAGGAATTTGATTAGAATTCAAAGCAGTTTTAAAATTAATAAATAAAATTATTGAATACCAATCATGGCTACCCTCAATGTGCATATCAACTTAAATCAATACCAGCTAATCTTACAGTAGGAGAAAGCCAAAAATACTTATTAACTACAAAAAAAAGAGTTTCCTCATGGTCCCATAAACTTTTATGAATAAAGGTTCAACTCAGTCAATTTCTCAAATACAAAAATAAATGAGGTGATTGGATGGATCCTCATTATAGCTGTCATCCTCCTAATGCTCGTGATGGCTATATCTCTTATTCAAGATTCTGTGGTAGGCTTTGCCATACCATTGTTATCAGTTGTTACATTCTTCATAGTATATCTGAATTGGGTGTCTATGAAGTTTTTTGTAAACTCATGAATTTGAACATTCTATTTTGTATTGATTCAAAAAGCTAACTGTCTATTATATATAATATCAGTGGATAGATGTTAATTATTTATTAACATTATTGATTCAAATCAAATCTTGGAAATTCCTTCCTTCCTATAAACCTATAATTATATATATTATAATAAGACTTTAATAATACATGTTAAATTCTGTTAATCCAACATCTAAAAAATTACTAAGGTTATTTGATATATACATTAAATATCCAATCAAATGATTTTATTAAAAAAGTGTAATTATTCTGAAGTGAAATGAATATCGAATGGAATATAATATGATTTATTCCATAAATTATATAAAGGTATTTAAATTTCATATGATCATTAGGATTTTTCAATAATAAAATAAAATTAAACAAAGATGATGGGAGGTTGGGCAGTAGTAGAAGTGGAAGAAAGACACCACTAAGTCTTAGCAGTTGTTCATCATGGTATCAATCAACATTTGGGATCCAACCATTAAACCTTCACAATCATTGAAGTACGTCATTAAGTTGTTGCTGGAACAAACTATTAATTCATTGTTCAAACTGAAGATCACAAGAAAATTTAAGTGAAAGTCTTTGAACCATTACCTCATACAAATTAACCAGCTCATGTGACAGCTGCTGTATATTTGTGATTCCATAAATAAATATATACATTCATTTATATTCATATATATTCAATCTTAAGTATTAGTCTTCTCAAAGATTATTTACTAAACTCTTTAAATTTGAATTAAAGTCTTCTGAGGCGACAAAAAGTCAATTATACATTAAGATATTCTTAAATGGCCAATAGTGATTTATAAAATTTTATTAAGAATTTTTAATATCTACAATTCTTACGACATCTTGTCCATTAAATCATTTCTCCACAGATTTTATGACTCTTTTGATTATAATCACTAATTTCTTTTGTTGTGTATTAAAAAAATAGCTGTATCTTTTGGGCGTTTCATTCTATTATCATAGTAAAATAATTGCAATAATTCATTAATCAATTAATGCAATTCAATGAACAATTGCAGCTTCAAAAGAATTACCTACTACTCTAATTATCTTATCAAAATTAACATTATTAATATATATAATCTAATTGTAACTAAAATTTATTGATTCTGTCATTTAATTATTGATATTTAATCATATACATTTTGTTTAAAATCTATCACAAAAATGAATTTTCTAATAAGATTTATCATATTTTATATTAATGAATCTCTTTCTCATTTAAATATATATTTACTATTGAATATACAATAAGATCTATTGTATTTTAATATTTAATACTATAATTCAATATATTATACATTAATTCATATCCATTATTTGCCTATTCCTTAGAATAATTCCTAATCATCTAAAAATAAAATCATTTACAATTTTGGTGAATCAACTCCTATATCCTCCACTCTTACTTTGTTAAAGAATCCAAACATCCAATAAATAAAAATGATAAGTAATCTTTGATCCAACATATGCTAAAAGTCAATATATAGTCTATATTTCTATAAGCATTGATTGATCTAAATTTAGATATTTATAGAGTTATATGGAAACTGAATATCAATTCTTTAATTTTATTACTTTAAATCCAACCTTATACTCACCTATTAGTATAAGATATTTGTATTTTGGCAGTATAATTTGCTAAACTAACACAATCCAATTTAAAATATTAAGTCTAAAAAAACTATTACGGTGTATGAAAGTAATATTTAGATTTTATTAATGTGATGTAAGCAAGTATAGTTAATATTGATAATATAGAGCTTTCTTCATAGATATATTGTAATTTCTCATTTTTTGGTATTTAATCATAAATAGGATTATGAAAAGATCATTTATGATTTCTCAAGAAAATCAATTTAGTGATTATCAATAAATAAGTATGAAAATACTTAATATTAGGATATTGAATTTGAATTCCAATAGTTGGAATTGATTGATATGGATATTTAATAATTCTTTGTTCTTATAATATTGAATTATAATTTATATTACATAAATTTTATTTATCTGTCCATTAGTATGTTTATTCATAATATGTACTCTTGATTTGAATTCATTTTGATTTATTAATAAATGAATTCAATTCCTAAATAAATTAAGAATATCCTAAGAGTAGAAATTATACTCATTTCTGTCTTGATTATGTTGAACATCACTTTATATTTCTTAAATATAGCTGAGAACAAATTAAAAACTTGTTAATTGTCATTCAATGCTATAGAACGATGTTATAATTTAGATCAATAATTGATATACAAACAAAGAATGACTAAGAATTAATGTGACTATTGCACTGTGTTATTATGGTTAATGCCCTCTAATATTATAATGTTATTTATGATGACTCTGATAATAATTAATAAAGGTAGATATTACATTAAAAATTTTATGAATAAATTACATTTAGTGGAAATAATCTATTTTGGCTTGTAATTTGTATATAATCTTTTTATACTATTCTATATTTTTAAAATGCCAATAAATTAAAATTATAGAACTAAATTATCACCCTTAATAATCCTATTTATTGAATCATTAATCAATTGTTTTATTTGTATATTAATAAGAATAGATTAAATTTATACAATTAATTATTTACGTGAAACAAATAAGAAAGAAACCTAAATGTAAATTTAGCTATTAGTGTGATAATATAAAAGTATTTATATATAAAAATTACTTTATTAAATGTTTACAATATATTAATAATAATTTTGAAAAAGAACAAGAGAATGAAGAATTAGAAATTCGTTTTTTTATAAGAAAATATTAAATTATATTAATGAAATATTTGTTAATTCCTGCTACAATTTATTTTTTAGTCACAGGATGGTACTTGTTTATAGAAGCTAAAATACCCTATTATCCTTTTTAGCATCTGCTTGAATTCACTCCAAATGTATATTCAATAAATCTATTAATTAAGCATGCTATTTAAGCATTATTCACAGTTGCATTAGGCTTATGTATTGTTATTGATAATAAAAAACTACTTATGGCTTTCTTATTTATAGGTGTAGCAGATCTCTCATTGATTGTCAGACACTGTTTTAAATTGGAAATGCAGGAACTTAGTGAAGCATTATAGCAGTATATTAATATCTTTAATATTTCAAAGTGTTGGATATAAGACAATAATATTAGGAATCATAATTGAATCTATGAGAAATCTCATTATTTATGAATAGCCAGAAAAAAAATAAAAGAAGAAGAAGAAAGTGAAGAAGATGGTTGAAGTAGAAGTAGAAGAAGAAGTTGATGAAGATGAAGATGTAGTACCTGTAACTTAAAAACTTAATCCTAAATAATAAGAAAAAGCTAAAACATCATCTTAAAAAAAGAAAGAAAAAAAAGACAAGAAATGATTTATATTAAAATGCAAAAAATGTGTGGATAGATTTCATATTTTTGCTTATTTTTATTTAGTTTAAAAATGATTGGATACAGTGAATTCTCTCTTCATTTAATTTAATTATGGAATATCTTCATCACTACTTTCATTTTCATTATGTTTTTTCTTAAATATTTAGAAAACATCTTTAGTCATCTAAATTATTTTATCTTTATAATTAATGCAATTTGTTGTTGAATCTACTGATGTTAATCCAACAACATTAACACTAGATCTTCTCAAAAAAGATTAGGGTCTTAATTTTGAATCTTATATTGAAAATTCAAATAAATCTTTTCTCTCAGATACAGATTCCTATAACTTTTTATTAATCAAACTTTTATTGAAAATATCAACATAATCCTTATTCTATATATAGAATTATTTATAAATATTATATTTTTTATTGATACTCTACCATTTCTCTTCATAATTTTAATTTGCTCTAATTAAAGTAGCATTAATTGATAATGTTTCATTATAATTTCTTTGTAAATCCTCATATTAAATCTTTAATTAATCATACAATATTTTAGAAGCATCATAATTATTTTTCAAATATTTATATTCTGTTATCCATTTAGATAATTCTTCTTAATGATTTAAATCTTGAATCTTTTATTATTTCATAGTAATTTATTATAAAGTATATGCTTATATTTGTTGGGCTCTTTTCAAATCTAATTTTGGCATATTATGCTAAGTGAAAATGGTCTCTCGATATTGATTAATTAATACGTTTATTCTAGCAACAGTTAATTCTATCTTCCATTGGTGATGTGCAATCCTTATCTGATTCATCATTATCAATCTAAATCATTTTCTTTTACATTTCAATTAATTAAGAGATATATTTTTCTACATTTTTCACTCCTTAATTTGGTTACATCTTTAATCTACATATTTCATTTGAGAGAGCCTAAAATTTATTATATTTCTGTTTTACAAAGTTTAACTAAATTAAATCATATTTTGACTCTTTTAATTTACTTATTTTCATATGAGACAAAGCCAATTGAACCTTATAACTCTCTATCTCCTATTATAATCTCAATGTAGCTTCATTTACATTCACTATCTAAAGAATACATAATATTGATACTTATTTATACTTTATTAAATATCCTTGATTTTGAGGATCATTTTCATAAAGGTTTAAATTATATTATGATTATTCATAGTATTTTATTTGATCTTACAGTTGTTTAATTCTTTGTTCTGATTCTTAGAGAATGAAATCATTTTCTTATTGTGTTGCTTAAAGTATTTATTCTAGAATTAGAACCTGAATTTAAATATCATAATACTTTTGATACAGCTTCATTTCTCTCGTTAAGTAATTTTGTTATTTATTATTTCAAAAGTTCTTATTCTGATTGCATAACACTCAATAGCATTTTCATATCAGTTCGTCCATTAATTAGACTTTAATACTATTAGTTGATGTTAATTTATTCATCCAATCTTTAACTAAGATTTTAGATTTCCTAACTTAAATAATCTATTTTCAATTTTGAAGAATCACATTGATCCATTTTATGATATATATATATATTAAATTTAATAATCTAATCATTCCAATAAAAATTGTATTCATCAATTAAATAATTTAAAAATCATATACTAAGTAACAATCTAATATCAGATATCATTTTAATTAGTTTTATAAACATTATATAGATTATTAATATAACAAAATTCTTTTAGATATCTTTAAATAGAATACCCTTATATAATTTAATTAGATTTATAAAATTAGCCTAAATTTTATTTTTATAATATTAAATTTAATCAATTTATATCAGAGAAGCAACTAAATGTCTAAATCAATGGGAATAATAGCATATAGAAATTTTTTATTAGATAAAAGAAAAATTCCAATCATTTTTATTTCATTGCAAAAATTTAATCTTAATTTATAATGAAGAAAAGAAATTAAATATTAATTGTTATTTATAAATTGAATTCAATTCTATCAATTTTTTTCTGTTTAAGTTAAATCAATTGATATATATAATCAAAACAATAAGGATTTACTTCCTGAAATAGGATAGTTAAAATTATATTAAAAATCACATTTGAAATATCATTTCATAGGTAATAAAATTTATCATATAATGGATAAAAATGAAAAAATTAGATCTAGATAATTACATAAAATTAATAATGATTATTTATTTATTAGAATTAAATATCTTAAATCACATAAATTAAAAATATTTGATATATAAGTAACTTCTATAATCATAGATTTCTACTATTAAATACTTTTATTTTAGTGATAATTTATATGATAGATTTTTATATTTGAAATCTAAAATATAATTAAGATAAATCTAATCAAATTCATAAGTAAATTGAAATAATGTATGTTCAAACTATTAGTATTTTATGATTCTATTCAATTATATTCATTAATTAGTTATTAGATATTTTCACATATTAAGTTTATTTTAATTTTGTTCAAGATTTGAATCAAGAAGAGATTGTTTTGGATTAGTTTTGATATAGAAAAGAAAATTAGGATATGAATATAATATAGTAATAATTATAATATATTTGTATATAAAATGTCGTAACTTCTAATGGTGTGGTTAAATGATGAAGTGCAGTTGAGTAAGAAGGTGACATCATTTGAGAAAGATTTTAATAATGGATATCTCTTTGGTGAATTATTGAGTAAGTTCAATTAACAACTGAATTTTGAAGAATTCTCTAATAAGTGATTATTGTTTTCTATATTTAGAGATATAAGAGAAGCCAAGATGAAGAATTTTACTTTGTTGGAACCAACATTTAAAACTTTACATATTCCATTCAATTTTCAAATTGCTGATCAAGTAATTAAAGGTAAAAAAGGAGTTGCTATGTAATTACTTTATCAATTACAGATGGTATTTAGTGTATTCATAATCATAGTAATTGTAAAAAGTTAATGATCCTCATGATGTTATGATGCATGCAAAAACTGGTAAATATAATGTAATATAACCATTGATGGTTATAAGATAACCAAAAGAATAATTTGATAAAATGGAATAAGAGTTTTTTGTATCTAAGCTTAATGAGAAAAAT